GATCAATAGTTCATAGAACCCAAAAAAAAATCGGTACATTGTGCACCGAACATTATGTAACTGCTGGATGTGAACATTTTGTTCATTTTACGCTGTACAGTAGTTGCAGGACACATAATCCCATACAACCAAGTATGGCTGAATATGAGGGGAAAAAACAAACATGTTGTACTGCACAGTTGAAAAACGGTAAACACAAAGAGGTTGAGAGGTTTTGTTTCGGATACATGTCTTTATACAAGTCTTAGCGGTGCATTTTTGGGTCACTCATCTTGTTTGGTGAATAAGCCATTTGGCTTACAGTCTGTGACAAGCCCCTTTGTGTTCACAGTGCAGTCTTGGTGGCTTCTTTGTGGCTGCGGCTTTGAACAATGGAGCGCACGACAGTGAAAGCACCAGCACCAAAGGCGAAAGGGAAAACACAAGAACCAAAACCAAAAGGATTTGCAGCAGCAGCAGCCAAAAAAGCAAAGGCAAAGAGCAAAGCTAAAGCTGCTGCTAGTCCAAAGCCAAGGGCGACGCCGAAGCCGAAACCAAAGTCAAAGAAGTGAGTCAGTAGAGATGGTTCATTAATTAGACTTGGTCCGGCGCCACACAGACTGGGTGGACTAAATAGAATTCCAACGGTTCTGGTTGTTTGTTATCTATGACTTTGTGATCTATGACCACTGTTGATTGTATCTATGTTGTTTACTCTTGTAGTTAGATTGAAATGTTTAATGATTCATGTTTTAAAACATATATAAATAACACTAAAATTGACAATGGTCAGCCATGAGCCAGGACCAGACCAGGAATGAACTACTTGCTGTTGCAAGGGCACCTGGCCTTTGCTAATCCTATTTGAACTGGAATCCTTTCCTTGCAAAATTGTGCCACACTGTTTGGTTTTATAATTGCATGGTTCTCAACATAGACTAACACCGGCTTCAGATCCAACATTTCAATGTTGAAACCGTTTGAGCTACACATGAAAATGAAGATGATGGGGAAGCAACAACAGAACGCATCCTTCTATATAGAACCAATCATCCATGACACAGAAGGATTCGACAAGCAAAAGCTCATCACTGGCATGAAGAAAGAGATCGACTCCATGAAGCAACAACAGGTCTTCACAGAACGACACATGGACGAGCTCACTCCCGAAGAACAACAGACCATCATCCAGAGCAAATGGGTTCACAGGGAGAAAGGCGATGACGTTCGATGTCGCATCGTCGCCAAAGGCTTCACAGAGCACGTCAACGACGCCGATGACATCTATGCCTCAACACCTGTGTTTGCAGTGCTCAGATGGCTTCTGGCACTAGCACTCACATTCCGGTGGAGCATCACAACAGGTGACATCAGCACAGCCTTTCTACACGCAGAACAAGGCCCTTTATGGGCTCAGATCATCACCAAAGGCCTGGCACGATCATCTTGCAGACATCCTTCAACATGTGTTGAAGCTGGAGCGCCTCAGAACAGAACCAAACGTCTTCAAGACACCAGGCAACACCTGCTCAACAACAACATTCTTGATGGTTTATGTAGACGACCTTTTCTTCCTGGGTCCACACGAGACCATCAATAAGATCTTCAAGCAGATTCAACAACATCTTCTTCTTCGACGAACTGGAGAGCTAACAGCCGGAAAAACAGTGACATTCCTGGGGCGCAACATCACACACTGTGGAACACACTTTGAGCTCTCACTTGGCAACCACTATGTTGACAACATCATCACGGAAGTCAAAATGGAGACATGCAATCCATCAGCGACCCCAGGGACGGCAGCACTACGAGCAACAGATGAACATGAGCAAGACCTCAGCAGAGAAGAACATGGAATGTACAGACGAGTAGTAGGCAAGCTTGAATGGCTTGTCTACACAAGGCCAGACTTGGCCTATGCAACAAAGGAACTTGCAAGAGCACTCAACAAGCCAACCACACAGGATTGGAAGCGCATGAAACATGTCGTGATGTATCTACAAGGAACAAAGCACTACAAGTTCACAGTCCAACCAACAGCACAAATAACTGATGAACTTAAGGAGATCGACGTTGATGCATATGTCGATGCTGACTGGGCAGGAGATCCAGTCACAAGGAAATCAACATCCGGGTTTGCCATCTACATCTTTGGCACCTGTGTACAATTCGGAAGCAGAACACAACAAACAGTAGCACTTAGTAGCGCAGAGAGTGAACTCTACGCGATCGGAACAGGAACAATTGAATCACTACACCTCAGCTATTTCCTCAAGGAACTACACAGCAACCTCAAGATCAACATCCGCATTCTCACTGACTCATCAGCAGGAAAGTCCATTGCAACACGCATTGGCAGCTCAAAGAAAGCAAAACACATCCAGATCAAGTATCTTTTCGTGCAACAACTCGTTCAGGCCAACATCATTTCAATCGTGAAGATAAGGAGCAATGACAACAGAGCAGACGTCTTCACCAAGCATGTGACTCCTGAAACACTCAGGAGGCATCTGCAAGCCATCGGTCTCGTTGACCGAAACAACAACTCACACAATTGAGAAGCTAGCAGTTTCACAGCAGCAATCTTCAACATGAAGATCAAGCAGTCAGCAAACATGCATGCAGCATGACTTCCAACATGGAGGTCGAGCAATGTGTTTCAAGCAAATGTGTCTCAACAAGAGATGCAAATGATAGTCACGTGCGCGTGCGTGTACAGCGTGAGCAGTGCGCAGACACACATAAACAGTGCACATTTAGAATTTCGATGCCATGGTTCGATGCCGTTCTCTCAACAGAGACGAAGCCCATCGATTACATGATCTCTCTTTTGGTTTCAACACCTTTTTGCCGATCGATCGCTCCAACATGATTTTCATGCACGTCAACACTTTTCAGTCTCAACATGTGATTTCGGAAGGTGATTTGAATTCAACGTTTTTGCCGCCCTTTCGTTCAGAGCTCAACAGCCAGAAGCGTAAACTTCGCCTTCAACCTCGGTAACATGGCTGTGGTTCAACTCACTCCGATGACGGGAACATGTCAGGTCTATGAGACCACGTTCCCAATTCCAACGCATGGAGGTCAGGACAAGAGGACACCAACATGCACAGCCCACTTAACATCAACCCGGACATCAACACGGGCTCGATCACGGAAGAGGGTGTGAACAACCCCTGAGCCTTTCAACGAAGGGTCAACACTGGAGTCAACGGGTGCGTAAGTCACTCGATGACTCAACAGTGTCAGTTTTTGCTAGATCGCTGTCTGAACACGACATTGATCTGAGGGACGGTGTGAAATTCAACATGACACTGTTCCCAACATTGAGGGAGATATACCTCAACATTGTGGCTCAACACTAGGGCCCTTGAGCACATTCAACGTACAAACAAAAGGCGCGAGCATTTCAGCAAACAGTTCAACAATACTTCAAACTTTACAAAGAAGAGAGAGAGAGAGATACAGAGAGACATGTGATGGGACATGCCAGCAACAACGTGCCTGAAGCGTCACATTGGATGTATCTCTGTCTCCTATGCGTCCAAAATTCATCGCAGCATACGCCTGCAACATACAAGTAGCGAAGTGCAGCTTTGGGCCCAACTAAGGGATCAGCAGTTGATGCAACTTGACATGATTTTGTGGGTCTTTTCCTCTCGTCCTTCTTCTCTTGTTTTTGGGCCTTTAGACTCTTTAGACTCCACACCATTCTTTTTACTGTCTTTCTTTTGTTGTATGGCGTATGGATGCTTCAATTTAGAAAGAATTCATTGGTGGTAATGACGAGAAAACACTGGCCTGGTACCCCACAGAGTCATCCACACAAACCTGAGCAATCTGAGGTTTAAAGGCAATTGTGCTATGTCCCCTGCCTTGCACCTTGTCCCGAGGCACTTCTGGAAGCTGGTCAAGAAATTCATTCAACTGATCTACCTGGAGCAGCAAATCATTGCCTCTCCTCCCAGCCTGGAGTAGGCAAGCACAATGATCCGGGTAGCACACTGTCCCCGGTGCAACCAACACTGGTCCAGCCAATCCCTGCTCCTGCGGCCAACTGCCAAGCCATCCACCGATTGGTCAAAATTGAAACCCAAAGCTTGAAACGCTGCTTTCTGCCAACCACAACACTTCGCTGCAAAAGGCACTTCTTCTTAAAGCTTCCTCAACACGTTTCAGCACTTCAGGTCGACACCTGATGCACCAATTCATCTATGAGAAATCGCGGACTCCAAACCGCCACATCCCTATCAAAAAATTCAGCACTGACAGCTGCATGTCAAGGGACTTATTGCACGATTACAAGTGGATTGAATTTCAAGGCTGGCACCATTCACGTACGTGCGACCAGCAGTAAGGTCCTGGAAGTCTGGAAGTACCAAGTACCCGTACGTCCGACTTTGGGTGACTCACGTGCGAATGACCTTGACCACCGAGGTGCTGACAGGCCAAGTGGCGAAGGTACACAACCACAGCACCATTTGCCTGAAACTAGTATAGCAGGCACACCAGTATGCTCCACACTTAGTGTTTGGGAATGATTGATCTCATGAAATATGCAGCTGCAGACTTGGTTTGTAGGAGTACATTTGTCTCAATGTCACACTGGTGATGCCTCAGAATCCGGCACTGCCTATCTGCTCTTCGATTGTACAACGCACTCCGTCAAACCTGGCAAGGGTGCCCTAGAAAGAAATACAAAAACCGTAACAAAGCAATACAGAACATGTGTTTCACTTCAGAGCAAACAAAGTCTTTAGCCAAGATGCTTAGCAATCTTTTGGGCCTGATAGGATCAATGCGCAAATCGGAACCACTGCTAAACATTGCCCTAACCGAAACACGGCTGAGCCATGTCGCCGGGCTCCCTGACTAGAACTGTGGCTCCATCTACACAGTCACCAGTTGGCCAAACCTTGGCACCATACTGTTGGCACCTTTTCCAAAACAAGGCCATGACATGAGGGGATGTACATCAATTTGCATGTCAGTCCCAAACTTAATCAATTGAATATCATTATCACACATTTCGGCGCAACTTGATATCCACGGCCAATGCTAAAGATTCAAGACTTTGCCTTGAAAAGTAGAGAACTAGATTCTTCTCTGCCTGCGCTTGGCCAAGAGAATGAGCGAAAGTGCAACAAGAGAGCATACCCACAAAGGTCGAGTGGACCTGATTGACAGGGCCGTCGGCAGCTCTTGTATCTTCTCCAAGACTTCATGAGTTCCTAAGAATGCACTGCTGCTTGCTACTGTAAAGGCCAGTGGATTTGTTGCAACAGCATTCCTCATGGACTCCGCCGTGAAGCCAGGAACGTAGGTATGGCCAACAACCTGTGCCAGGGCTAGGTCATTGTCATCATCACCAATGCTTATGGAATTGGCCTTGGTAAACCCAAACTTCTTGATCAAATACTCTGCAGCTTTGTCTTTACCACTGCTCGAAGGATAAAAATCTGCGCTACCCAAGTTGAATGAGCTTGCCAACTGCGGAGGCAGACTTGATATGATCTTGTCAAGATCAGCAGCAGTTTTGCCTGTCGACTTCTTCACACTGACTCTGAAATCTGTCGAATATCTATTAGCATCACATGCCCAGCCCTCCTTCTGCAGTCGGTTGTACAGCTCCCAAAGCACACCGGGGCGCTCCGCAGGGGGGACCGACTCGACCACCATTGGAGAGGCCACATGTTGGCCACGCCATACCAAGTCTTCGACAATAGGCGCAGCTGTGAGGGAATCGCTAGAAGGAAAGAATATTCGACCCCCATTCTCCATTACATAGGCGTCTGCTGCAGGCAGGTAGGGCAAGCGTTCCATGAAGGTGCTACTTCTTGCACCACTGATCAGCACAAAAAGGTGGCCGGATCGCCTGATCTCGGCCACGAGTTGCAGAGTTCGCTCACTGATAAAAGCTTGCGTTCCTGTGGTCGATGGCGGAAGTGGCCTCACCGAGATGTTTACTCCTTGCACCGTTTCGAACGTACGGCCATCCTCTGACATTGTGCCATGTCTTTGCAAAGCGTCGTCCGCAATGTGGAGCAACGTGCCATCGAGATCGCTAAAAATCACCTTTTGTGGCATCAAGACCTACTCCGGTTCTTTCATTTTAAGCTTGAAGTGAGAAAGATTGGCTGCGAATTGACAATCTGGGTGTTCACAATCCAAAGCAGCCACTCCGCTGAGAGATAAACCACACCACCAGCATCAGCGCAGTTGCACCTTTCCTGTCAAATCGCACGCACGCTATAGATTCTAGACAAAATGATGGTCTGGGAATCTCAAAGCAAAAGGCCGTAGTAGGCCTTTGTACAAAAAGAATCCAACAATCCGAAATCTTTGTTTACTTTGCTGTTGGGTTTGCCTCTGGAAATGGACATCAACCTTTTTAATTACTAGCCATACCGGCCATCAAAAAATGTATGGCCTCACCGGCCACAACAGAAGACCGCGGGAAAAAGACTCGCAAACGAGGCCGAAGCATGGCAGCCAAAGCCTGCAATGAACGAGCCGCGACACAAACACTCTTGCAGCACAATACACAACAGTATAGCGTCGATGAATTTGAATTTTGTTTGTGCGATGCTGACTTTGCAACCATGCCTGCAAAGGAGGTGGCTTTGCAGCGCTTTCTGGGATATCTCGCACATAGATGATCTTACCTGGCGTCTCCGGCACAACCTTTGACAATATATTGATTGTGCTTCACTATTTCAAATTTCCTTTTTACCATGAGTATTATATACATATATAGTTATATATATATATATATCGTAGGGCATTTTACAAAGCCTTTGGACACATTGAGCGCTCTGGCCAACCCATTCAATGCTTTGTTTGCTTTGTTTGTGAAAACACGTTGTTGCTCTGTGAGGGTCTGTGCAGACCAACTGTCAACAAATTCACTTCAAGTTCAATGCTTGCCTCAGTGAGACAGTGCAGGGTTGGTCTCCACCGCGGACCAGACTCTGCCACGGGTTTAGACTTCTTTGGATCAGCTCAGGACTCCAGGACATGTTCCTGCACGTTTGGAAGTGGCCGCAAGCTGCTGTGCCGTTGTCCTCCTCTCCGAGCCTGGCAGCAGCTAGACGGTGTGAATGATGTTCATGACTCTAAGCCAATCTGGAACCAATGATGGTCGATGAGGCAGGATCTCAAAAACTGGGAGACAAGGGCGCTGACTACTCAAAAATCCTCGGAGCTGAGGTGAATTAGGTACAAGGGAAGTGTGAGACAACTCGCGAAAAAAAAAAAGTGAAATACGCAGTGGAATCTTCTTTCTGCTGGCAGAAGGCCACGAATCATCAAAGATGGCCCGCCCCTATGCAAAAGCTGCTCGTTGAAGCACTTCAGTCCTGACAGGTGGTGAGGTTGGACTGGACCACAGAGGATGTTCCTCCTGGCTCTTTCTTCTCTCACAGCAAAGAGGCGATAGTCCAGAGCAGCGGCAAAGGGCATCAGCACTGCCTAAGGGCCTGACCCATCCCTGCCACGGACGCTCCAGCAAGTAGTTGGCCGGTCGGGAGTCCATAACGCCTGTCCTTGTCAAACGATTTCACCACTGCAAACATGCCGGAAGCGAATCTGCAGTCGACATCTCGCGCAGGCAAAAGCGCGAGTCAGTCGCTCTTGTCGAGCAGCTCAAAATTTTGATCTTGTTCTCAAAACTGCAATGCATCTGGCGCAGGCCTCTCAGCCAAAGGATGGACATAAATCTTCAGCGACTCTGGATCCAGAAAGGGTCTTGGCGGTCTTGGGTCAAACTTCGGAAACCCAACGCTAAAAGTCTCCACTTCAGAGCGCCCGATCACTTCGCAAACTCGGGCATTGCGCGCTGGCACTGATCGAATGTTCTCAGCGCGCCGAAGTAGTCGGTTTTTAAGGTCTTCTGAAGTGCTTGGGCTTGCATGCTCAAGGATGAAATGGCATCTTCAAGTGAGTCAAACCTCGGAGAGCGACCCATGGATTCACGCCCCACTTCATCACCTTCCAGCATTGTTCTCGGGAAAGAGCGGCGCCCAAATTGCATCCCAGAGGACAAACCCGAGGCCGCCCCAGAAAAAGGTAACTCAGCACGATGATGACGCTGTGCAGAATCTTCTTTCTTGAAACCTCCTTTGCAGCACCCTCCGCACCGAGGCCTCGGCAGGTTCTTGCAGAATGTCCAAGCCGGCAGCGGCCACTGAGAAACAACTGCAAGGAGGCATTCAAAAGCACCCTTCCACTGTACACGCCCGCTCGGACACCAGGAACTCGAATTCCGGAATCACGGTCTCTAGCATGAAGGTCAGGAGAGGGCCTCAGACTGCGGGAAGGCTCACTGTTTCCCTTTCCGTGTCGGAGCTGGGTCTTCCTCCACCCCTCCTGTCTTCTTGCCTTTCTCGCTCAATCTTGTTCAGGACTCCGCATAGCTGTCCAGCTCTTTGATGTGGCGCAAGAAGATCTCCACCCAATTTGGATCTAAAAGAGCTCTATGCTGCTGAAGGTCTGGTAATGAGGCGCAGGTTGGATACGAGCCACTCGACCTTTACCCAGCTTCCGCCATCGATTGAGGCCTGGTCAGCACTGGCTAGCAGAAGCGCACAGCGCGCCCGCGCTTGTACATGGCCGGCTTCAAGCAGGTCCACACGCCGCTTTTCCTCCAAGCCCAACGAAAAGCGGCGGCGAAGTTCTGAATCCTCGACCTGCCTTCCAACCACCCTCTGGCGGTAGCATTGCCCAGGGGCTCGCCAGGGCGACTTGCTCTGAGAGCAAGTTGCTTTCGATCGCTTGGAAATTCTCGGCTCCTCGCTCAGCTTTCTCTTCAGAAGGCTCTTCCGACTGGCGACAGATCCAGACTCTTCGCTTCCTTCTCCGGTGTCGAGGCGATTGAAGGGCTTTACTGGGTTGTAGATTGTAGATGTTCCCTTCAAAATCCCTACACGCTCCCTGAATCCCCTCGATGAAGGCCGTCCAAAGAACGGAGTAAGAATAGGCCAACCTCACGGCTGATCTCTTCTCGCTCCGACCAGCTCTGAACCCCTGCAGAGTTCGGCTGATAGGGGCCAGCCAATGAAGATACCGAACGAGCAGGATGCAGCCTCCCAAGATTCTGCTCAATCAACTCAAAACTGGCAACGCTGTTCTCTTCAGCGCCACCTTCAGTCAAGCTCCAGAGTGGCCAGCCTTTCAGCAAGCCGAGCCAGCCAAGTCCTGACAAAGGGCAGTGAGCCGGGCCGTCAAGCTGCTCGCGCAAGAACTTGATAAAGTGGCCGGTCTAGCACAACTTCCCAGCGCCAAGAAGTAAGAAGCGACCAGTCGCCGCCAGCGCTCTCTTGTGACAGGCCCTGCCAAGACACTAACCAAGACACCGCAGCCAGGAGGTGAGCGGAAAGGTAGTCAAGGGCAAAGTCGGGGGCCCGCAGCGGGCAATGACATTCTAATCGGGTTCATCCTCTGGAACCAAAAGGCCCTGAACTATCCCCAAAAGCAAGGTCCCTACCAATCCCCCAGCTGCCCCTAACGCGAGGCGCCCTGGCGTGAACCGTCTCTTGATTTTTCAAATTCTGCGCACCTTGTTGCTCCGTGAGCGTCTGTGCAGACCAACGACTCTGCCACTCGGAACACACGGGTTTAGGCTTCTTTGGATCAGCCCAGGACTCCAGCACATTTTCCTGCACGCGGTGAGATATATTTTCAAGCAATCTGGAATAAGGAACCTGGCTACCACGTAGTGAGTCTCATCAGTGTAAGTTGGAGTTTTGGAACCTGTCTCGCTGAAGATTGTCAATTCGGGCCACATTGGCATCTACGGAAGGATGCCACCTGCTAGCATTTCATTCGCCCAGCAACTCTCCATAGAAAGTTGGGAGGTTGGAAGGAGTTGGACCTTTGTTGCTGCCCTGCGCGCGCGCCTTTGGAGTGCGAAGCGCGCAGCAACTTGCAACAGAACTTTTCTTGACTATGGCCTGGCGATGTTGTCAAACTCAGTGCCCTGCGCCGCATTTTTTGGGTCGGTCGATTTTTTGGAAGCCAGGTTTAAGCTGAGGGTCTTTTTCCCGAACGCGTAGCGAAGGCTTCTCGTTTAACTTGGGGTGTGGGGGTAGGGTCTTGTTCGTCACGCGTTGTCGTAGCGCTCGCAACCGTCCGCAGCCGACCGCAACCGTTCGCAGGTGGGTCGCTATGGCGGACAGTTGGGTAAGCTTTTGGAGGAAGTCTTGGATGGAAGCATTAAGTGTCAGATTCGTGTGAAATAGTGTGCAGTGGAGACGTAACATGTTGAAGTGTGGAGGATGTTCTTCTGCGCAAGCGCAGCGTTTGCGCGATACTCAGACGCCTTCGCCGCGCCATTGGGATTGGCGTTCACAGGGTGGTCTGTTGGAGGTATTAGATGTCGCTGTGACAGTGGGATTTGCGTTTCAGGCTTTTGCTTCGAAACTGTGTTTTCGTGACAGATGTGAAGATGTCAAGTCGTCACTTTTTGTAGCAGGCGCGCAGTACCTTGCGTGCGTTGGAAATCTCAAGGTTTAATTTTTGTGGCAGGTGCAGGGAATCGTGAGGTTGCGACGCAGAATTGCGGTGTGTCAGCTGGTGTGGTTCGGCGGGGCTGCTTGATGTGTTCACTCTGATGAGACTTCCTCCTTCACGGTTCAAGTCTCGTACGAAACGCTAGTCTTCGAGACTTGAACCGTGAGTTTGAATTTGGTGGACGTCGTACAAAACGCTCGTTTTGGGGACTTGACACACGACTATTGGAGGAAGTCCCGCACGAATGGCGCGTGGCTTTTGGAGGCAGGCTCGTACGGTTGCCACGTGACTTTTGGAGGGGTCTGGTACAGCGGGCTTGTTTTAATTTGGAGACTTGACGTTGGAGGAGGTCTCATACGAAAGGCTTGGGTCGGGCAGTTCAGTAACTGTTTGTCGCTCACACTTGTTCTTCAGTTGCTCCCATTCGGTGTAGTCTTGCTCAAAGTGGTCGCTTCGAAACCTCAGCTCATTGCACGGCTTCTTCGTGGAGCGCTGCGCACGGGCTCGCGAGGTGGCTGCGACGCCGTGGAGATCAACGAGTCACCACTGCTTGGGCGGTCCAACATGCGGTCAGCGTAGCAGGCCTTTCAGCTGCCAACCTGAAGCGCAGCTGTGACCTTCGGTTGTTGGCCAGTGGCTACAACCTGGCCGATGCTCTCACGAAGAAACGTGAGGACAGCCACTTGAGCCTTGAGAAGTTCCTGAGGACCTGGACCTGGGCGATTGCATACGACCCTTCGTTTAGTGAGCATTCGGTGAGAACCTTTTGCCATAGTGGTGGTTGGACCCCATTGGTCTGCTCGCTGCGCACCCGCTGCAGAATCCTCAAGACCTTAAGACCTTTCAGACCTTTCACCACATGATCAATGAGAATGTTCCGGGCGCAGAGATCCAACTCGAGCAATACCAGGTCCAAGTTCCAAGTTGAATTCCAACAGGGCGAAAGACCGAAGTCATTTTCAAGATCCAGGGGGCTGCCTTGCTGGCTACCAAACAGCCGCGTCTACCTTCATCTGCCCACCTGGTCTTCGCTCATTTCTTCACTCTTGATGGTCATTGTCCTGGGAAGTTTGTGCAGCTACGAGTATTTGGATGTTGTGAGCACATGCGACACAGCCTGTTTTTTCCCCAATTCGAAGGCCATGCGCCTTTCGCCCATGTAGCATTGCAAACTGGTTGCTTCCATGGTTTGGGAAACTCTTGCGCATGGTGAACACTGTTGGAGAGTACTTTGTGCGACCATCTTCTACGCCACTCTTTTGGAACGCTCTTACTTGACACCATTGTAGGAAGCCAATGACTGTCAAGTGTGACTATGACTCCGCCTCTCAAAAACCTAAGCCATGAACTTTGGTGAGTATTGCTCCTAGCATGTGGGAAGTGGCTGAAAGGCAAAGCTGCCCTTACGCAGCACGCAAAGAAGACACAAGGACTATGCTATGTTTTGGCACACACACACTCTCTCCCGGGCAGTACCTGCCCAGCTGGCAGGAAGGCTTTCAGTTCTCTTGCTCTTGGTTTGCGGCACGTGAGTCATTCAAGTTGCGGTGTGTTGCTGAGTGATGGTTCTTTTCCTTTGGTTGTTTTAAAAGAAGGCATTTGCCATGCCTTAAGTTCATATTCCTTGGCTTCATCGGACGCTCAGTGCAGCTATATAAGGTCAGTTAAAGGAAGCAACCAAAGTACCGCAACAGCAAAGGAGTCTCCCAGAAGAAATGTCCTATATATAGTTCTCCGTGCCTGCATCGTTCAACTCGTAGAATGAGATTCCCCGTATCCTCCAAGTGTGCACGAAACCCAGGGGTGAGCGACCTCCCCAGACGAGTCTTGCCTTGGAGCATCAGTGGGTGCTCCAGCAATTTCCACATTCCAGGTAAAGCCTGCCAAATCTGCTTGTTGGATCTTGTTCGAAACACTCCCAAGCTCGTTCAAGAGACTCTCTTTAAAAAATAGTACCATATGCAGCACAATTGCTTGGCACGATCCTGAGGCCAGCACAGCAGGCTTTGCTGCCATCAGAAAAACGCTCGGCAACAAACTTGAGTGCCTTGATTTCAGCCTGGTCGCATCCACAAGTCTTCAGGCCTGTCGGATCCTATTGGATTGTGCGAATGCAAAGCTCTCAGTTCCTCGCAAATTTCTCCAGGAAATCTCCTGGGTCGTCATTGTTCAATGAGTTCTTGTCAAGAATCACAATGATTATGCGCGCTGAGGTTACAGGAAGACTAACTTTGTACCAAAAGTGGCTGACCATGCAAAACTTGGCCCAAGACTGACCTCTTCCTTTCTACCTCAGAAGCTCGCTGCAAAAATGCTACGCAATTGCGAAGAAACTTGCCCTGTCAAGGGCAGAATGGACCTTCCGGAGTGGTGATTCATTCTTCGACAGGGCCCGCTGTTGGTGTTCTTGATGCGACTACCCCCTCTGAACTGCAAGAACCTTTTCAGAAAATGGGTCTTGGACAAAGACTGCAACCTCTCAATTTGTTCAAGGGCCAAAGAGAAGTTGTTCCTTCCCCGCACCAACGTTGCAATGTTGCAAAACACACTTCATTCTGATTTGCACATGTGTTTTTGCGCACCAACGTTGCAATGTTGCAAAGGTTCAAAGGAATCATGGATTGAATATGAAAAACAGCGGAACGCGCCCTTTTTCCTTCAAAGGATCTTGGGCCACTTAAGGCCGATCGTGACATGTGCAAATGGTGGAAAGTCTTGACACTCCACCTAAAAGCGAGGTGCTTCAACCGAAGCTTTTCACACCTCACCACTTTCCATAAATCTTCGGACGTTTCCGTCCCAGTCTGCCTCCCATCTGGTGCTGCAGACCATCACAGCGAAGAGAGCAAAGTCTTTTCGCTCATCATTCGTCCATTGAAGAATATGGTCAAATGCCATATGAGGAAAGCGACTTGTGTAATCAGCCGCCAACCTCGTGCGCAAAAACTCTTTGAAAAGAGTCTCCGGGAAAAGCCCGTAAGACAAAACTTTTCGAGCACGCCTCTCATTGTCCTCCTTCTGGTAGCGAAGGAGGGTTTCCATGTCCCACCAGTCAGCGTCTTCTGGTGGGTTCTCACGGTCGATTGCCTCTCCGCTTGCTTGGCTTGGCTCACCTGTGTCATCCACCTCCATGTTCTCGTAGTTCAAGTCTTCATCATTTCGTTCGGAGGTGGTAGGGCGGTATCGTCGGTGGAGAGTACCCTGAGCATCCTCCACGAAGAACTCTTCTCCACTCTCCGCGCTGTCTGACCCGCTCAGGACTCGGTACTCCCACATTCGGCCAAGCTCAGGATTCCAATCCATGGTTGTCGGGTGATGATCTCGAAGGAATCCTGGTCGTGGAGCATCACTATCAGAGTCCTCTGCTTCTTCTTCATTGTCATCATCTTCTCCTTCAGGCTCGGGCTCATTGGCTGCAGGAGGGTCTTCTTCTTCATTCACACCTCCACGGAGCTGCACACTCATGATTCGATCAGGTACTTCATCATTTGTATACTGCAGTGGCTCCGGCCATCTCCTCCTTGGTTCAACTTGCCATTCTCCACCTGGAACACCATCCATCATCGATCTTACGATCATGCCCCGATAGGATCGGTAGTTCTCCAGGGCATCTTGGTGTTCTTGTTCACGAATGAACTCATTTGTTCTCTCCTGTCTCACCAGTCGAGCCACCGTCCTCAGGAAAATGCCAATCCTGGTTCGGTATAGGTAGCCACAAATCATGCCGAAGGCAAACACGATCATGCTATAGAGCACGAACATGAAAAAGTACACCAAACCACCACCGCTCTGGTAGTTCTCCTTGTCCTTGTCATAGTCACGCCCATCCTCACTTCCAAAGGCCACAGGCTGTAGCAACAGCAACGTGACCATCTTCACCATTCCATTGGGAATCTTTGGAGATGCCTCTGAAGTCTCTTGGACCATGATGGTCATCATTTCTCTTTTCACTTCCTTCATCCTTCTGGTCATCATCTTCTTGGCCATCTCGTGGTGAAAGCTCTCTTCTCCAACCTTGGCAAACTTCTCCTCGCTCTCCATGGCGTCCATCTCAACCAGTCCAATCAGGTACATCAAGAACTCCCGACGGACTTTGGTTAACCTCTTGGTTCCCAAGTCAGCCACATTCCACAAAGTGGGAATGCCTTCCATAGAAAGTGACTCCTTCTTGATCTCGAGCTGGACCCACAGGTAGCGAGTATCAATGTGCTTCAGCCGTCCAACTCCTAGCCTCTCACTGAAAGCTCGGCAGGAACTGCTATCGGTGATGGCCCTCAAGATCACTTCTCTCTTGCTGATAAAGGACCATAGATCTTTCACTTGCAGTCCTTCTGCACAGCCACCTGCTGCCGCCAAGAACTCTGCCTCGCATGAGCTCAGTGCAATGCTCTTCTGAGATCTGGACCAGCTTATGACCAGACATCCATTCAGGAAGATGAAGGTCGAGCTGACACTATGTCGTCTGCGCTTGGCGCTGCTTTGATCTCCAGCCCAATCACTGTCAGTGAAGCTCTCCAAGATGTCCGGACCATTCAACTCCTCCACCTGCCCAAGAATCTCTGCTTTCTCGCTGCGACATTTCTGATAGGGAAGGAGGAGTCCATAGCCTTCTGTGCGCTTCAAGTACAAGATCACATGCTTCACTTCTGCCTCTGCCAGTTTGGTAGGTCGAGCCATGAACTGGCTCAGGTTGCGGACACTGTGCTGGATATCGATCCTGTCCTGGCTGATGTAGAGTAAGGTTCCGAGGGCTGACCGAAATCGAAATTGGCTTTCACCATCAAGGACATCTTCAGGGGGCCCTTCCAAACTCACATGTGTGCTCTCTGGCGTAGCACGGCCACCTCGATGTTCTAGCTTGTAGAGCTCCATCAGGCTAGGGATGTACTTTTCGTGAGGCATGATGACGATGCCATTGGCAGTGAAATAGTGCCTCTTCTTCAAGCATCTTACCGGCTCATCTTCTTGCTGTCCAGCCTTCGGCAGAATTCCAGACTCACTCAGCACAAACCTGCTCCTCATCGCCTCCAACAACCATTCAATGCTGCATTCTTCTCCTGCAACAATCAGGTCATCCACATGACACACGGCAGCTAATGGTTTGCTTTCGTGTCGGAAGAGTGAAGGCAAACTCAAATGATGTTGGAAGCCAATCTCCTCCAAATGAGAAGTCAGGTGGTCATACCACCTTGCAGCAGCATCTCTTTGTCCAGGCAGACACTTTAGAAGGGTCCAAAACCTTCTCTCGCCAGGATGCAACTGCTCAAGCTCCTCCGGTTGCCACCACTGCGGCTTCTCTACCAAAACAAGCTTCACTTGATCTACCAGCAAGAATGCATCCTTCACATCAATGAAAGTGAGCTTCCAGGAGAGCAAGGCGTGGGTAGCCAACAAGAGTCTCGTAGCTGACAGGGAGGATGTAGGAGCAAACGTCTTTGCGTTGGAACTGTCACCTGCTCTGAACTCCCTGGCAACAAACCGGCAACGCCTCTTCCATCTCTGCTCTCTGAAGCGCCAGTCAAAGACTGAACGTGTTGTCAGCACTGTTCCACTGGAAAGCTCTTCGTCTGTGGGCTCACGCAGAACTCCCATCTGCAAGAGTCGGTGGATCTCTTCTTGACCTGCTTCTTCTTCCACCACTTGTAGCTCTTCTTCTGACAATTCAGGAGGATGTCCTTCATCTAGCTCCTCCACTTCTAACAAAGGCCAATCACCTCCACCTTCATTGGAATACTCTTCAAGTTCTTGCTCCCAGGGTTCTTCATCAACTGGTCGAGATGCAACATTGATGTTACCAGCAAAGGTCGGAGCGTAGAGATGAGTAGGACTACCTTCTGGGCTGGTTCTGGCAGTCTTCATCTTGGGCTCCTCCACGTCACCTTCATCTTGCATCTCTCCTCCTGTCCTCGGTGTCTGAGGCCGCTTCATCTCTGGGGTCTGAGGCACTCGTTCACCTGCTTCATCAAGGCCCATTGGCAAAGGTGGAACCCTCACATATTTTGATGGTTCTGTTTCTGGATGGGCTTCAGGCTGTCTCTTCTCACCTCTTCCTGTCTCCTCCACAGGACTTTCTCTTCCTCCATGCTCTCGAGCATATCGCTCAACATCATCAGCATCTTGATCTCGCATGAAAGCCTCTCCATCATGCTTAGAATCAGAAGCCTCTTGGGTTTCTTTGCGAGGTCTTCCTGGTCCTCGAACACCGCGAGGAACCATTGGAGTCGATGGCATGATTCTCAATGGTGGTCTTTTGACTCCAGGGTTTCGAAAGGGCTTGTCCTTGACAAGGAACATGTACGTGGGTCTCCATGGCTCACTGGTTCTCCTCACTGCCTTGCCCTTCATGACCCCATTGACCCCAATAACCAGATGGAGATCATCTTCGTTGGTTTTGCCAACCCAGATCCCAGGCAGCCATTGAGGACCTTGCTTCATGCCTGGTTGCCGATGAAGGAGCAACACGTATTCTCCAAAGCAAACCACCTTTCCCATGTACCTTCTGCCATAGGCCAACTCAAAAGGTGTAGCGCTGAGGGCACTGTGAACGCCAAACCGATTCAGAATCCAGGCAGCATGGAGGTAGGACCAATACCACATAGCATGGCTTCCTTCTAGATGCAACATGCATTTGCTCTCAGCCATTTCCATCAACGTTGAAGCCTGCTTTCTCAAAGTGGCAATGGCCCGCTCAACTCTTCCTGTCTGGCCTTTCTTCATGCTGTTGGTGATGGTGGTCTCAAGGCCAAGGCTATGGCGGATGGACTTCACGTAAGTGAGCAAGGCCTTCATGGTGGGTTCACTATCACCAATAATCTCTGTATTTCCATAGTGGTTCAGAGCCAAGGTGAACCTGACAACATGCTCTGCTTGTCCACGTAAGTCTGCACCCTTGGACTCAACGGGCACAGCCAGCAGCATGCGAGTTTCGGCATCCACTCCCACCAAAATCACCACCAACTCCTCCTGGTTCTTTTGGTCTGACCTTCCAAAGGCATAATCCAGCTGAATCCCTGGAATAGAGCGTCTGCCTTCTTCAGACTTGTCCAGGCTTCTCTGAGGATCACTCTTTCCTTTGCAAGCGACACAAAAGTCACACCAATCTCTGTAAGGCACATGGGTGAGCTCATGAAGCTCGCGTTCTTCATTTGAAGGTTGTCGTGGAGCTCGAATGGCCACCAATCCTTTGTGCTTGTTTTGCTCCTTGTACAGGCGGTTGGCAATTACAAACATCTCACGATGCTCCATCTTCTGAATTTCCTGGTTCAACCGGGTCCACAAAGTCGCTTTTGAGCCTCCTCTGCCAAGGCCTAAGAACTCCGCTGCTTCACGAAGATGTGCCAGTGAACTTCTCTCACTTAATTGCTGGCCATTGATTTGCAGCAGTTCTTTGTTTTCAAACCATGGCATTGGTCCATCCCAAGAGCCGCCCACATCAACCTGATCTGTTTCCTCTGGATGTTGCATCTGTCCAGGATCCAATTCTTGTGGTACCATCGGCTCAGTGGCAAACTGAAAGTCATGACTGTCAACATCCACACCTCCTGCAGTTACAGTCTGTTCACCCACAATAGTGCCAAAGAATGCCAGAGGTTCTTTTCTTCGATGAAGGACCGTGAGCACCTGTGTCTCTACTCCTTGACATTCAGGAATCTCTCCATCCGGCTCCTCATGGGTGTAGTATTGGCTGCAATGCTCGACCACTTCCCAAGTATCATCATCTCTTCGAATCAGGGTCGATCTCAGTGGCCACCAATTCAGATTCCAGATCAACTGGCAATTTACGAAGTTCTTGCTGTCATAGCTAAAGCGCACTGGGTTTCCTTCTGGGGTTGTCTTCCATGCTCTCAAACCATAGTTCTCCCAGAACTTGCTATGCAGCTGAAGAACCGTCTGGATGACCAGCACTTCATCATCATCTAGCCGATGACCGCTTCCACTGCCACCTTCCTGTTCATCCGGTTCATGAAGAATCCGTCGAATGGTGCCCAACAAAGCCAGGGAATTCTTCTTGAACCTGAGTGGAATTTGGCATTCCAAATCGGGTGCCTGCAAATGAACCCCAGCCTCACAATCACCAGGGACCATCCTCCATCCTCTCTGCAGAAGTCGACCGAGGCTTATGAGTGGGGTTTGCACCGAGGCCACCACGAAGTCGTCTTCAATGATCACCATCTCATGACTGCCTTCGCATTCGATCTGGGCAATCTTTCGACCATAGGTGCGAAGTCTTCCTCCTTGAGCATCTTCTAGCACAGCCTTTCCTCCACCACTGTTTCTTCCACGTGAGGACATACTCTTCGGTAACAGGCTGCAATCAGCTCCAGAGTCCAGGACAATAAGCATTTGCTTCTCCATCTCTTGAACTGCGCAAACGCTAAATTGCTCCACTTTCTCCTCAGCTTGAGGTGGCAAAGAGTATCGTCTTGAGGACATGTTGAGGAACCATCGATAAACTTTGTCAGACTGACAATGTTCTACCTCCTCAACCTCAGACTCCTCTCCATGGATCACAAAATGCCACAGTGCCGATTTGCAAGGGATCATCATCATACCACCAGCCATCACCTTCTTCACTCTTCAAATCAAACAAGGCAGGGCTTTGTTCAGCTCTCGGGGTCGCCACGTGGTACATCTTCACCTGACGAATCTGGGGCCGTGTTGCCGTTGTTGAAGCCATCGAAGAACCACTGCCTTGAATCTTGCCACCCGCTGAGCTGGCAATTTCACTATCCACATAGGTGGTGTTGTTCGAGGTGGTCACTGCATTGGCCTTATTAGGGCACTCATTGCCCCAATGCCCTTGTTGGCCGCAAATTCGGCACGTGTTGCGGTCTGGACTTCCCTTTCCTTTGCCACCAAACTGCTTGCCTTTTCCTTTCTTCCCTTTCTTGCCTTTTCCTTTTGACTTCCCTTTTCCTTTGGGCGTCTTTCCAAAGGATTTGCCTCCAAAGCCATAGGGAAACCATCCTTTTTGCTTTCCTTTACCCTTCTTGCCTCCTTTGCGCTTGCCCTTGGTGCCAATCTGGTTGATGCTGTCGACTTCCATAGGAGCAGGGCCATTAGGGTCACTCGTCAATGAATTTTGTACCAACTTCAAATAAGAATCGCCGCTCCAGACACGAGAGTTCTTGTCCATGAGGATCAGCTTTTCTTTGAGGCTTTCATAGGTGATGCTATCATCCATGGTCAACTCCAAATGCCTCCTCAAGTTCGGTTCGATGCACCGAAGAACCGTAGAAACCACAAGGTCGTCGGGCATTGGATGGCCTGATGCCAGTCGATACTGATCCAGTAGGAGGTCCATCTGGAGCAAACTTTCAAGCATCGGCTTGTCCTTTGCAAAGCTGGGATGGCTCATGATTGCCTGCCCGATTGCCATAGTGCGAGGACGAGCCTTTGGCATGTACAAGTTACGAAGTTGCTGCCAAACAAGGAATCCGTTCTTCTCTGCGGACTCTGCACGCACCAACTGCAATGCCGGGCCTTTGATGTAGGAAGCAAGAATGGAGTAAAGGCGTCTGGCCAACTCACGAACTTCTGGCGAGGCAAAGTCGGAGAGCCTGCATGGTTCATCAAGAGCTTCAACATCTCTCAAGAGGTCTGTGAAGCGATGGTCTCCGTAAGAAAGCCAATTCACAAAAGTCTCCCTCCAAGACACATACTTGAGAGGATCATCGCCGTCCAGCGAGTCAGGAGCCTTCAGCACCTTACTGGCTTCCCCAAAGTTGCCACTCTCCTTCTTCCTCTCCATCTTCTCCAACACTGAGGCCGAGACTCTTGCGGCCTTGGTCGCTGCCTCAGTCATCTGTAGCATCTGGTTCATCATCTGGGCCGCTTGTTCGGCCTCCATGGCTTGCGCTGCAGTCCAACAACCAAGAAACAGCAAACCTTTCAAACGTAGCCTGCATTCAAAGCGCTGTCTCAGCCGGCCGTTCCATCTTCTCTTCCTCAAGCTCAAGTGGCCCATATCTGGTCTTCTTCGACACTTGCATTGGGTCATCCGCTTCCTCAGGATCGTCCAAAGGCCAACTCCAAGCAGGACGAGCGCACCACTCAGCCATAGTCCAACCTTCTGGTACTTCACATCCTCCAGAATCTCGGTCATGTCAAAGTCCTCGATGAAGACCTGCAAATGGCTCCATATGATCAAAAAGATCAAGGGCATAGCGGGAGTGAAGGTGCCTTTCACAAAGTCCAGAGCCTCGATGATGGTCAGGTTGAAGTTCCATCCATAGTACTCCTCTTTCTCAAGTTCTGGGCTCCAATCCCACACGAGCTGCCAGAGCTCGATTCCGCTCCTCACTTGGTCATCCAAGGTCAGTTGACCATTCCCAGCATCGAGGGTCCAATCCTCGATTTTCTCAGGGAACACCTGCCATCCATCTTCATTGCTAGCATTGATGTTCGTGGGCTCTTCCAAGCATGCCAGACTGGTCCCAATCCAGCCATCCTTCAACTTCTCAAACCTGGTGGTTCCAATCCACTTCATAGCTGCCCCAAAGCTCAGCCCAAGGGTCCAATCCTCAGGCACTGTCAGTCTTTCCTCCTTGGTCGCCACCTGCTCGGTCTGCACCTGCTCGTAGTCGATGGTGTCGTTCACCTGCACGAAGGGGATGTCGTCCTGACGCTCAACACACGGGCTCATCTTCGACAAAAAGAGGATCGCCATGACCACAAAACGACATGGCATGGATCGGCCCGGTGGAGCTGGAGCTAGCGCTTTGGCTAGCTCCGCTACCATGAAAAACAGCGGAACGCGCCCTTTTTCCTTCAAAGGATCTTGGGCCACTTAAGGCCGATCGTGACATGTGCAAATGGTGGAAAGTCTTGACAGAATATCAGAGCTTAAGCCCACTGCGGAGAGGCAACTCATAATTGAAGTCCTCGTAGAGAACCTTCACCAAGGAAAGACTGCTTGCTAAGGTTTGCTGTGGATAGTTAGTTCATGTTAGTTCAGATATTTCAGCAACAACTGCCATCAATGTGGCCGTAGTTACCTCCGGATGGTCACCGTATGTGCTCCCCTTGGCTCAAGTAACACGTTGCAATCAAGGACTTTTACTCCCAACAGTGGCCTCCTATTAATTCTGTTCCATTGCACCCCGAAATGCACAGGGCCTGGTCAGCAAAAAAGGTCACAGACTCGGCAGGCGGCGCATTGCCCTGGCAAATCCAAAGTTCAAGGAGTGACAACCACAAAGACCTCAAGGTTGCCACTGCGAACCTGCAGTTCACTCCACAAATAGCGGCAAATGTCACCTGCAGCGTCCAGAAACTACTTCTGACTAACGCACAAGAACGAAGCAAACAAAGGCAAAAAAATAACGAATTCTCAACTACGAAGGTATCGGAAAGACTCCTGATCATTCATTGCTTGTAACGCTTAGGGCGCTGCTCGCTCCCACGGGTTTTCGACGTTCTGCCTTGCACATGAATCTCCAACGCAGGAGTACAACTGTCCAACTGAAACATCTTGCATTTCCAAATGTGTTTCATTTCTGGGGCGCACTTGGACATCGAAAGTAGCAACATTGTCGCCACCGATGGCCTCTTCAAGTTTCCAAAGAAAAACTCCTCTGCAGAAAAAAACAAGACGCCTTGAGAAGCTCTACTGTCGCATCTCCAGGTTTGTAGAGCGGTTCACAAATTTCACGCAGGAATGATACTCTCCTGAGCGCGTCTGTTCAACATGGGTGATCGTTGGCATCGGTTGGCTTTGTCTTACAAGGACCTGAAGAATCCGGGACTCTCTTTTACTCCTTTCAGCGAGAGTTTTTTCAAACTCGAAAGGGGGGCCTTGCGCCGATACGATTCCGCGGTATGTCATGTCTGAGTCTAGGTGACTGTCATGTACCCTTTCTGGCTCCATCTCAAAGTCTTTCACACCTCCATCACACAAACACACGTGGCATAGCTCCATGTGCGAGCATAGCTCCATGTGTGAGGACCTCAAATATGAGCTGCCTACCATCTGCGCCCTTGTGCACGTTTGCCATCTGGAGCACCTGAGAAGGGAGGGGACGAAAGCCAGCCACCGTAAAAGATATCAATATGGTTGTGGGGGGTGAATGCGAGAGCCCTGGTGAGCTCGTGAGCTCCCCACCTCTTTCCCTATCACCTCCTCCCCACTATGCCCATTTTGTACATGAACCACTCCGTATGGGGCGCCCTTTGCGTCTGGTCAACAGGCCTCTTAGCAACTCAAAGCTTGCCCGCTGCATTCTGCCCCCCCTCTTTTCCTATCACGCCCTCCTGAGTTCACCATCTTCGGCGTGAACAACAGTCCAAGAAGTCGCTTCTTCGCCAAGTTCTTTGCGCCAATGTCAGCACTGGGAATGGCCGCCACTGACAGGATCTTCTCCTTCTCCTGGATCCATCCGGATGTCTCACACATCCAATGCCCTGCCTCTGTACCATCGTTGGGAGTCAAGGTAAGCCAAAGCAGTCTCACGCTCAGCAAAAAGCTTGGCCAAGCACGCTTTGTATGGGCTGAGAACCTAGACATCCAAAGGTTGAAGAAGGAATGTAAGCCTCGCAGGCACCACAACTAACCACAAACCTAGCGTCGACGCAACCTCCGCCACTTCTGGGTGGACATGGCACCGCGCACAATCTAGGATCAGTATTGGTTGCAAATGATCCAGCCCGGCCATTGCACACCGGTTCGCCCCACGCCTGCTGCTGTAGAGTTCTGGCGTGACAAATTTGGTTCACTCTCCAGCCACACTCACATTCACACTAACAACACTCACACTCACATTCACATTCACATTCACACTCACACTCACACTCACTCTCACTCACACTTGCACTCACTCACCCTCACTCACACTCACTCTCATCCACACTCACTCTCACTCACACTCACTCTCACTCTCACTCACACTCACTCTTCACTCTCACCCACACTCACTCACCCACCTTCACTCTCACTCGCACTCACTCTCACCTTCACTCACACTCACTCTCCTCGCTCTCACTCACACTCACTCTCACCCACACTCACTCTCACTCACACTCGCTCTCACTCTCACTCACACTCGCACTCACACTCACACTCACTCGCTCTCCCGCTCTCACTCACACTCACACTCCCTCACACTCTCACTCTCCCACTCACTCACACTCACACTCCCTCACACTCTCACTCTCACTCACACTCACTCGCTCTCACTCGCACGCACTCTCATCACACTCACCACACTCACACTCACACTCACTCTCACTATCACTCTCAACCCACTCTCACTCTCACTCTCCCTCTCCCTCTCGCTCTCACTCTCACTCTCACTGTCACTCTCACTCTCACTCTCACTCACTCACTCACTCACTCACTCACTCACTCTCCCACTCTGACTCTCACCCACTTTCCCACTCTTACTCTCACTCTCACTCACTCACTCACTCACTCACTCACTCACTCTCCCACTCTCACTCTCACCCACTTTCCCACTCTCACTCTCACTCTCACTCACACTCATTCACTCACCACCGCCGCCGTCACCACGATCCCCACACCTTCGTCACCACCATCACCTCTCTGGACCCCAATGCGTCTAGATCTCCAGACTTTCTGCTTATAGACCTCACACACACTGCTTGGGGTCTCTTGCCGGGAAAAATATGTTTAATGATTGTTTTATGTTTTGTTGATTGTTGTTTCCAAATTTGATGTATAATCTAATCTAACCGAAGAGGAAAGACCATTTACAATCCAGAGAAGTGGGTAGCGTATGTATTTCAATCCAAAAAGTATAAAGAAAACATAAAAGATGAATTTAAAATGATAGTAGCAATCAATAAGAAATTTGGGCACATAAATGCGTTGTTTCATACAAAACCACAAAATTTCATTGAAGAAATATGCGAAAAAAAAATATTTTTCTTTCTCGCACCATTCATTACAAACATGACAGCAAACTCAAAACAGTGCACAGAAACTCAGCAGCTTCTTTTTGAACGGGGGAATAGCAAGGTCTTATCTGAAGGCCCTCCTGGCCGGTCGGAAGGGCTAGGCTTAGTATGGTACAAGGTAGCGCGTTGGCTACCAACGCCACTGAACCCAGTTATTCAGGGTTTCGGTCGCTCGTCGAATCAAATGGTCTGCAAAGGTCAAGAAGTCCGCAAGCTCGTGTCGGGCTTGATTCAGGGGCCAATATGGGCGGTATTGGCAAACCCCATGTCTTCGAAGTGTTCGATCATGGTATCCATAGCAATCAGAGCTGCTAGGGCATCACATCTCAGTTGAATTGCCATTCTGTATCGGTAGAGGTCAGCTTGGAATTGCACCAGGTCTGGCTGCTGCATGGGTGGTGGGCGGGCCAATTTTGCCAGACAAAGAAAAGCGGAAACCCACCCTCCACTACCCTGGAACCAAACTTAACGAAACGTGAGAGACATGCTTGAATGAATGCAAGCTTGGTTTCCATCACTGCAAAACAAGGAAGCTCTTAAGAAATAAATAGTTCGTTGACTTCGCCAACTGCCCATACTATTTCTTTCTCGCACCATTCATTACAAACATGACAGCAAACTCAAAACAGTGCACAGAAACTCAGCAGCTTCTTTTTGAACGGGGGAATAGCAAGGTCTTATCTGAAGGCCCTCCTGGCCTCCCCCCTCTTAGGCCTTCTCAAAGACCGCTCTTATCTGACCACATGTCTTCGAAGCTCGGAACCCTGGCCCTCAAAGCCTCGGGCAACATTTCACGCGGGGCCGCCCTGGAAGGAAAGTCGGCCAAGTTGCATTCTGTCGGAACTCTGGCATACCAGGATGCAGCGGTCTACCTCCTGCTTGGCAATGTTGTGCACAATGCTTTGGAGGTTCTTGTTGGAGGCGTATCCCTTGAGGATCAGATACCTGCATCCTTCATTGTCGAGAAAGATCACAACGTGTTTGCGGGCCAAAATTCTGCCCCAAAGGTGGAGCGCAACTAACACTGCAAAGGACTCCAACTCGCCGATTGCTTGCTTCTGCTCCTCAGCCATGAACGATTTGCAGAAATCTTTGGTGACCAAATCTCCGAACCACTGTTCAACAGTAGCGCTGCCGTTGATCAGCACACCTCCGATTCCTCCGCTCTTGGTTTCACTTTCGAAGCTTGCGTCGGTGAAGATGTAGTACACCTCGCTCGTGTCTGAGTCAGCTATACGTGGTGCAGAGGTGAGCACTTGATCCGCCACCATCTCCAAGGCTCCCTTTGTTGATTCGGAGAGCTTGTTGTTCTTTGGTGGCCGGAGTGCATGTTGTCCAAGTTCGTTGATGAGCCTTCTTGTTGCTCGTCCGAACAGCTGCCCCTCAGCAAAGCCCAATCTCCCTTTCAAGGATGCAGCACCGTGACTGGTAAGTTCGCCTTCATCTAAACATTTGGCGATTTGTGCACAGACATCTTTCTTCCTCTTCTCGGTATTCTCGACCTGAACAACGCCTTCAGACGACTTTCCAAGGTCCACAATGAAACCAAGGGCGAGACGCTAGCTCCCATCGCCGATGACTTCTCTCCTGTCCTGTCGAACTTCCAACCCAGCAGGTCAAGCAGGGTTTCAAATGTCAGCTCACTGCTTCTGCTCAAGGCTGGGGTGGACAAGCATATAAAGTCGTCGAAGTAGCACGAAGTCACCAAGTTTAGCTTCAGGCAGCATACGAGCACATCTTAGGAAAGCAACCACACTGCTCTTCGCTCCAAATGGTAGGCTGTATTGCTGGAAACACTTGGTCGCTTTCTCTTCGGGGCAATAGACTGCCAGCCTTGCCCACTTTAAGGAACTGTCCGAAACTGCCAGCTGTCTGTAGGCACTTTTCAGATCAAAGCTCCTCCCAACCAAGGTGGAGCACTTGGACCTGGATCTGCCGTCTGCCAACCATCCTTCAGCGCGATTGGCAACTTCCCTCCGGAGGGATACATGTAGCCCCTTGGTCTTGTCTTTCTTCCACACCTTCTCGGAGGTCTTGGAGTTAGATTTTTGACTGGCTTCGCCAATTGCTTCCCCAGTCTTGGGATTTTGTCGGTGGCTTGTCCGGCTTGGCTTTGGCCTGCGGCGTTGCTGCTTGGGCTGGCAACATGTAGTACATCACTGTGTGGGCTTGAGGCAGGCCTTGAATGATGTCGTGTCCCATCTGCCCGTGGCTTGACGCCATCTCGGGAAAGCTCTTGCGTCCGTACAAATGCCTGCCGGTCAGCCCTCAGCAACTGAGTGACGTTCGGCTGCTTGAAGCCTGGTGGCGCAGCCTGCCGCAGGATCTGGAACAGATGCTGGTTCCATCTTTGGAAGGTCTCAAAATCAATCAACCCAACCAGGTCGAAGGCTAGACTCCTCCGTGTCATTGCTTCCAAGACATCCAGCTCTGTTGCCACGGGGCATAGCTGATCTTCTTGGACACCTTTCACAAGTATGCCCTGGCCGGGAATGGCAATCCCTGACATCCTCTCTGCTGCCGGCAGCTTGGTGTTGTTCGGGTCGGCTGCTGGGTCTGCCTGTGCTCCCGACTGTCACTGCTCGTCCTGGTACTGCGTCGAGGATCAACTGCCGAATGTTCTCCTCTGTCGCTGGAGTGCCTGGCTGTCCACATGCGAAAGCCAAGCGCCCAAGGTTTGTCACTCCACGAGTCGCCAGTCCACGTAAGTTTTCGTCGGCCAATTCGAACTGACTTGCTTGTCGCTCAAAGGCAGG